TACAACATCGATGCCATCAAATATAATGGTGAACCAATCACGCCTAAGAACATTGTGAACAAGTTCATTCGTCAGTGCGGAGTTCTTGTGAAGGACCAACTCCCGATCTCCATTCAAGAATGGAAAGAGCCAAAAAATAAACATCCAGATGTTACTTGGGTCGACGACAGAGCAAAAAACGCTTTGGGAATCTCTTATGGAACATTTCACCCTACCAGATCATTTCACTGATGCGGATGTGCAGAAAGTCAAGGACGCTGCTCTTAGGAAGATGGCAATTGCATTCAACACCCACAAGAAAACTGTATGGGCCAACTACGTCGATGGAGGAAGGAAGACTCCAGAACTCAAGGGAACACTGGAGAAGCAAATAGAACATTGGCCTGCTTTCGTGAAATTCAAGGAATTAGAATTATCTAAGGAACGGTCGAGAAAAAACAAGGCCAATGCCGCAAAAAAGACGCAGTTTCATAGGCTGGGACCAGGTGGCTACGCGGTGGCAATGCCTAAGTGGGATAAGTCTGAGCAAGAGATGCTGGATGCAGGGGTCGATCCAGTTACTAGGAGCTGGCCCCCAGGTGTAGAACTTGGTTCTATGCGCATGGGGGGTGTTGGACCCAAAGACAGGCCTGGTTTCGAAGAAGGCAAGTCTAAAAGGAGCCGAAGATAAGTTACTTCAAGCAATAGAAGATGCTCGAACGGGGCTGTTCACACCCAATAGAGAGAACGACGAGCTTACGCGCGCCCTGGGAAATTCTGAACACCCAGGAAGAACACGAGGCAAGGGCGTTGTTCCGTGGTATGAGGGCTTTTCGGATTGGAACGCCGACTACAGAAGTGGTGCAAGAAGGAAGATGGAGGAGAAGAAGAGGAAGCTGGAGGAGGAGGAGAGGAAGTAGGAAGCAGAACGCCTTCAAGGCCTAGAATCAGCACACGTGGACTTGGCACTCAAATTCCAGCGACAGCAGGAGCAGATCGACTCCCTTAGCCAGGAAAGGGGGTCTCAGCAGCAGCAGCAGCTAGCAGATGATCCAGCATTGGATAGCACCGTCCCATCCATGCCGAGAAGCAGCGTTGGTTCCACCCCGGGCGATGCACTACTGGATAGATACCTTGTGGATGACATCATGGAGAGCACTAACTGTGAGCTACACTTCAAAATGAAGAACATATCCATGAAGGTGGTGGACGCCATTGCTTATACAAATTCCCCCGATACAACCTTTCATTGCAACCCGATTCCAGCCGTCTATGCTTGTGTCCAGGTTTATGAAGTGGTGGACCAATAATCGGGCCTACAGCTTGACATTCCTAGAGGTGACGAGGAGCACACACTTGGAGAGGCCAAACATCGTATCATCCTATGGAGAAAGGATTGCATCATCTTTCCAAGGCCATCGACACCGCGTCAGCTGACTCCTCCTCGAAGTCCGCCACCGCGTCGGCACACTCCCACTCCTCCAAGTCTGCCACCGCGTCAGGCCCCTCCTCCTCCTCCAAGTCCAGCAAAGCGTCAGGCCACTCCTCCTCCAACAAGTCTGGCAAAGCGTCAGTCCACTCCTCCTCCTTCAAGTCTGGCACAACGTCAGTAGACTCCTCCTCGAAGTCCGCCACCGCATCATCAGACTCCCGCTCCTTCAAATCCACCAACGCATCAGGCCACTCCTCCTCCTCCAAGTCAGGCACGGCTTCAAGCCACTCCTCCTGCTCCAACTCAGCCACGTCAGCCGTCTCCGCCGCCTCGGCAATCGCAGAAGAGAGCTGCCGCAGCTATGGTGTGTAGCGCTACAAGTCGAGGTAGTACAGGAGGTATAGGCGGAGGCAAGCGATATAATATGGTCCAAGCCTCGCTCCTCTTCCTCAAAGGTCTTACGACATGACCGAGGAGCAAAACGCAGCCATAGTGCAGGCCCAAGTGGACGCCCATTTTGGACCGAAACCGGCACCGCCGCCAAGGGAGAAAGTGCCTGAGGAAAAGATTGGCCACTTCATTCGTATGGCTAGACCACTAGCTCCCAATCCTGTTTACTCAGACTATGAGCGCCAAATCGGGAAGGCACATCGAGAAAGACTACAGAAGGAGTCAAGCTAGAGCTCGAGCCAACCAGCTAGCAAAAAATGCGGGAAAACCATTCCCCAGCTGGGAGAACAGGCGGCGCGGGCGATCCCCCTGCTTGTTGTGCCAACAACACATGAGAGTACCGCCGCCCTATATATATGTGGGCAAACCGTTCCCCAGCTGGGCAATTTGGTAATAACCGAGGAGCATATAATGCAGGCTGAAATGCTCGGTATCACTATTGGACAACCCCTCAAGATCGAGCCCATGTCTCCGCTTAGAGAGGAGGAAATAAAACAGAAATATGTCTGCAGCCAACCTTTAGTCGAGCCCGAGGAGGTCAAGAACCTCCCAACCAGAATGTATGAATTGCATGATTGGTACATGAAAATTACCAAGAGTTCCAACCGAGAGTCCCTCATGGTGAAGGTCAAGGAAGAGCATTACTTCCATAAGCTAGCTCTGTCCGTTGAGTATTCAGAATTATTTCAGTTATTCAATCAAGATGCACTCGACAAATCTCTCGTCAGTTGCTATTGTCTGTAAGTGATTTCTTTCCATAATTTAAGTCTCAAGCTAGATTTAGTGCTCATTGATCGATCATTACCTGTAATTATCCTCACTATATTCTTTTTTGTGGTATTATGCAGGATGAAAATGTATGAGATGAAAAAAGTTGGACGCTATGGCATTGGGTTCATTGACCCAAATACCATTAATGAAAAGACATGGACATATGAATATTATAAACAAGATGTAGAGAATAAAATGCTAGAGTTCTTGTAGCGCCTCAATAGCAATAAAGATATACTACTTCCTTACAACTTCCGGTGAGTCACACTGTCTTGTACTACATATTATGTTTTTGCTTACTAGCTAGCTAGATGTTAATAATTAAGTGTATAGGGTTTAGGGTAGTTGATTAGTGTTATGCACATGTCCGCTTAATTAAGACATGCAAACGTGTGCGCATGCAATTATCACTGGATCTTGTTAGACATTAAAGTTGAAGAAGGAAAAGTTGAAGTACTGGACTCACTACTTAAAAAAGAAAGTGATTTCACCATCGTGAAGGGGATAATCGACAGGTAATTTCAGTCATTATTAACTATATCTCGGCATATTTAGTTCGTCATTTTCTGATATCAAATATTTAATAACCCATTTATTAAAAAAAAATCCGGCGGGCAGGGCTTGAGCAAAGTTCATCGAGGTGACTCCAGGCAAATGGCGACAAAAGTTGTTTTGGTATCGACCCAGGGTAAGTAATTAAGTAGTACTAGCTAGCTACCATCTCATTAACTCTTGTTTCAATACCATTAACTAATTATCATGCTTGATTAATTATTATCTAATTAAATTATATTCTCGTAAAGGCCCTGAAGCAGGCGCCGGGGACTGAAGTGTGTGCATACTACGTTTTCGAGAGCATTCGCATGATGACGTCCGTAAGGAGCAAATCTGATAGACAGGAATGGGTACATTTGCCAGAACACCATTCACAAATTTTACATGATTATTGATATCTAGTCACACAACTAATACACATGCATATTAATCTCCTTCTTAACAGTTCAAAGAGGTGCGGGACCAACTCCTACCAACAGAGCGCATACAAGCACTTTAAGAGGAAATAGCGGGATTTTTACTTGACCAGGTCATAGATCCCAAAGGAGAATACTATTACCCGCTACCGTCCCCATGAACCACTCCCAATTGTCACTGTGCTCCGAAGGCACATATATATGATCGGTTTTACGAGAAATTCTATTTGTATATATGCATAACGTGTACAGTATGTAGTATCGTAAAATACCAGCAAACGAAAAATAATTAAATGGAAAACATAAAATTGAAGGAAAAAAGAAATCATGAAACCGAAACCCCCCAAACATTTTAGTACCGCTTGGAAACGGTTGGTGTTACCAACCGGAACTAAAGGTCTCCCCGCCCCCGGCGCTGGCTCGTGCCACGTGGTGGCCCTTTAGCGGCGGTTCGTGCAGAACCGATACAAAAGGGGGGACCTTTAGTCCCCACCCTTTAGTACCGGTTGCAGTACCGGCACTAAAGGCCCTTACGAATCGGTGATACATTCCGGTTCTGCACTAGTATGAGTGGATGTCTTGACGGCTGATGCTTTGGCTCTAAAGATTCGGTGTGTCCATTGCGCGAAGGGCGTGATGCAGTCGACTCATTATCAACTATGGCAATTTGGGAGACACGGACACCATGCAAAATGAAGGATGATTTGCGGTGTTTGACGACTGTTATCATTTTGCTTGTGTTTTTTCCATTTGTATGATCGAGCATTGTAATAAAGAAGCAAATAAGGTTTTTCATGAACTCACTAGCCTGACTAGATTTTCCTAGACCTTTGAATGGTTTGAGGAGCCTTCAGAGGAAATTGTACCCTCGCTCATAAATGATATAACTGTTATTTCAAATGAATAAAGTTTGACTGTTTTA